TGGATTTCTTGATCGTTTTCGTGCGACCGCTTGTTATTTCCAGATAGTTAGTTATTTCCAGATACATCCTTGAGAGTCGAGTTGAATCCTACTGTGTTTCTATTTAATCGAATTTAGTCGTGTTCATTGGGAAGTGAAAAGGACAGCCGCGCACCTCTGAATCTTATGCGTCACTATGGAGCTGAGATGAGAAAGGATCGCGCCACCTCATGCCGGCATTAACCCCCACGAAATGCTTGTGTTCCTGGAATTCCTTCTGATATGTACTGGGGTCAAGGCTATGCTGTCAGGTCCCGAAAAGAGGGGAAATTTGTAACAAGGTTGCAAGGAGGATCGCGTAACGCACGCGTAGTACATACCGGCACATACGGTACAACTAAATTGCCATTGATTTCAATTTCGTAAGTATCGGCTGAGCGTCAGAAGAGAAGCGGTTCCTTAGATCCAGTGAGACTGGACAGGATCTGGGGAACGGAAAAACAAGGTTAAAAGCGCTAGCGCTGTGCGGGGGGCCGCTCCGATGGTCCGGCCGTGACCAAACGCACGTGTCAGTGACGCGTCGAACTTTTGCGGCTCCCCGAGTCCCAGGCGCTCTCCTCTGGACTCGCTCGAGGCTCGAAACCCTCACACCAGTTCTCTCAGCTCATAATTATCTTCTTCAGCGGCTATGTGGATACTGAGACCATGTGCTGATCTGTTTCTCTCTGGGGCAAGGAAATTCATACTAGCATACACATCTATCGAATTGTCAAGCGAATTGTAAGAGCCATCATGCTCGTGGAACGCCGCGGAGGCGCAGCCGTACGACGGCCCGGAATCCACTGCTGCAGTGCCCTTATCCATCTTTGCGAAAAAAAAAAAAAAACTTTGTCTAGAGCGGATTGGTAGAATTCGGTACGTCCATAGCCAAAGACTACGATGTCGCCTCATGTCTGATTTCGAATCCCGTCATAGGCTCTAGCTTCTCATGATAGCTCGAGGTATATAGCGAAATGGTCGAGCAGGTCGATCTGACGTGAACGCTACTGTCCGGCTTGTGCGACTGGAGTTCGACCCTTCCTCAAGGCCTCACTCTTCACACCATTTCGACGATCTTGTTATATTCCATGAAGATTGATTTGTGTCCAAATGCTCACTCTCGACAGAGGAATCGTGAGTGTTGATGTTGCGTTTTTGCGGTATTTGACTCACAGGGCAAAACTTTTTTACGGTGCATGACGACGCAGCATCTTCTTCGCTTCCATCTTGACTTTCGACTCGGAGGCCAACTTCGGACGTTCTCCTTCCTGCGCCACCCCAGGATGCTGTATAAGGCCGCTGTGCATTGGAAGCCACCCGAACTTGTTCAGTGTTGACTGTCCTATGGCATTGAAACGGACAGACTCACAACAGAGTGGACAGAGGCCACATCACACGGTACGGTTCAATCACAATCACAATCGAAGCCCGGTGCTAATACTGGCGTTGGCAGAAACACCTGCTCTCGACTTACAAGATCCTCGTACTCCTGTAAGGCTCGTACGACGGCCCCCGGAATGCACTGCACTACTACGGCGCCGGCATCCATCGTCGCGAACGACGGGTCTAACTTACTTCTGGGGAACCGATCGATAGGATTGGGTTCGTTTAAAGCTTGCGACCCACTACCTACCTGATCAATTGTAAGCCCTAGCTTCTCGCGATGGTTCAACTGATAGATTGAGATGGTCCAGCAGGTCGAACATATGTGTGCGATGCGCGTACCTCTGACCTCGCCATGGGACTGGAGTTCGACGACGGTTCGGGGGAATTCATATTTCATTCGAATGATTGGTCTGTTTCGAAAAAGTGAACCCCATTGTGAACAGAGTGCGAATTGTGCACCGTCGGTAAGCCGTCCTCTATCCCCAGACGCAGGCGCATCGTGAAGAGTTGACATCTCTCAGGTACTGTTCAACTAATCACCCGGCTTATGGGACTAGAATTCGTCTCACTGGTCACATCCTTTGATTATTGTGGACGACCTTGTTTTATTCCATGAAGATCGATTCCGAGTCGTGTCCAAGTGACAGAGCGCGGTGGCCCACCCGTTGACGGTCAGCCTACTCACAGCCCCGGGGCGCGTTGTATCTAGTTGACATCTCTCAAGCTGTATCTTCAAGCCGCCCTTGAATGCATACGGAGAGCCGGGAGAGGTGGCCCAGGAGTTTGACCACCCCGACTGACTTCTGCCAAATTCCAAACTTCCACCGCGCTCGAGCATTCGGTACGTGGAAAGGTCCCGCTGATCGGTGCGATGCAGAAGAACTACGTGGGTGGCACTGACGTACTGATGGAGTTTAGTGCGGACCCGGATGTGCAGGAGGCGGATGGAATGTCTCCTGGAAATGCAGCGCTCAAGTTTGGCCCACAGGTCTCGGCAGCGATGCAGAAGTGGATACGGAGGCGCAGCGGGACAGAGGCGCCACGGTTGGAGAAGCGGTGCGACGGGTGCGGGAAGATGAACGTACGACTCAAGAACTGCGCCAAGTGCCAGGTCGCGAGGTACTGCTCCGTGGAATGCCAACGTACGTGTTCTATTCTTTTTTCTACGGGTTTGTACTAATGTTCTTCGGCAGGGAAAGCATGGACCACCCACAAGACGGCTTGCAAGTCGTTCTCGAGCTCGACCACCGATGTTCGTCAGAGGGAGACGTCTAATTTGGTTTGATCTATATCGTCAAAAACATGAAAATCAATTTCCTTCCCAGTGATGACAGGGAGATTCGAACTCCCGCCCCGAAAGACTAGATAGGATTTTCCTGATTCTAGTGCCTTAGACCGGTCGGCCATGTCGCCTGTGGTCGGTCGTATACATCTTTCTATGTAGAGTGTGGTGCAAGGTGATCATTTTCAGAAGCTCAACTACTCTGCCACCTCCCATCTAATACCATGATGGCTTGCTTGCATATTGCCTAGTAGCAAGTAGATCTCTTCCAGTTTAATTTTTTGACCTGCAATGCTGCTATTGTATTGATTGCAAAAGCTGTAAGATATGTCTCACTCATACTCGACCAACCCACATGATATAAATGTTACTTTGCATGACATGAGGAAACTTTGGAATCTGCCCTCGAGGGAGATAATCTATGAAAAATATGAAACCCAAGACCTCTTCCAAAGTTCATTGCGCATAGATCTTGGTCTTTATTTTTTTTCTTTTTGTGTTGTGGATGAATGGGATTCAAATTTTTCAACTTTTGATGAGATCATTGGTTCTGCATGTGATGCACCTGGGTTGACATGTAGATTAATGCCTCACAACCAAATACAGTGACTCCATTCACGATGCCTGCACTGACAAAAAAGAAGCTCGCCAACCTTGTAAACTTGGGTCTACATTCAGGCAAAAAGGTCTTGAAAAAGCTCGGAGCTGGGAAGGAGAACCAGGTCAATTTCTGACACCAAAATTTTAAATTACACCATTCCAACTGACATGCTGCTTGCCAGCCTCCCTAGAGTTTGCTGCAGCCCAGAAAGAAGGCAAAGAGCATCTACTCTACCATAATTTCCAAGCCTGGTGATGTAGACATCACACACATCGCATTGGACCCCCCACCAAGCACACCCATCCTTGTTGAGGAACCAGTAACTCCCCCCCAGGATGATACAGCAATGGAGGTCAACCCACATGAAACTGACAGTGCAACTAGTTCACAGCTACCCAATGTGGTGGCTCTGATACAACTGGCACAGGAAGCTGAAGCTATCCTGGATCTTGTAGAGAATAATATACAGACTGCACTGTTGAAGTACACAGATCTGGAGAAATGAGGACAAGCTATAGAAAACACTGTAATAGCTGTACTTATGGCTGTGAAGGAAGCAAAAGATGCCAAAGAAGCGCAATGGGTAGCTGAGGGTGCTGTCAAAATGGCAGAAATTGCAGCCTGCAAAATCAACAGGTTGAAGAAACACCTCCTCACACTGATTGCAACTCATGATGCCACTGCCACAAAGTCTCAAGAAGCAGCAGCAGCAGCTCTGCAAGTAATTATGCAGCCTGTGCCAGAGGTAGAGGATGAATCAGAGGATAGTGCAGAAGTTGACAAGATAGAGGACTCTACCATTCCCCACAGAGCTATAGAGAGCCCAGGTACAGGTATACCTTGTACTCTCCCATCTATTACCAATGCCCAATCTGCTCTTGATGACATCACACTTCTTATTCAGCCACAGAGAATGAAGGGGACTGGCTACGTCGACCCTGAGCTTGACCTCCTTATGCAGAAGCACCTTGAGATGATGCAGATGCTTCTCTGGACTTATGTTGACACTAAAAATAGTCTATCCTGGATGGCGGCTTCTCAGCAAACTGCTCAATCACAGTGGTGTGGCCCTTACTTTGCAAAAAAGCTTTGAGAGTGGACCAGAGCATACATCAAGGATTGCTCTGATGTCCCTGTTAAGCAGCACAGAACCTGGAACAAATCATGATTAGAGCATGAAGACATTAAACAGGAATTGACCATGCACTTACAGAGCATTGGTAAATATGTCAAAGCTCTCAACATCATGCACTATCTTGACTGTGACAATGTGAAAGCCCAACTCAAACTCCAGAAAACAGTCTTGTTGGCAACAGCGCAGCAGTAGATGCACAAAATGGAGTTTAGATGGACTAAATATCCATCTAGTCAGTACATCAATGGTCATGAGAGGGCAGACATGGTAGCATACCATCAAAATGTCTTCTTGCCAGCAATAGCAAACCTCAAGAAGCAGACCAGGTCTTGGAAGCATGGGCTTGAGGAGATTGTCACTGAGTGGCCACAGGACAAGGACAGCGGATGGTGCCCATTTGAGGACATATACATAATCTGGTACTACAACAAGTCCACATTCTATGCCAACAATCAGTGGAAGGTTGGGTGGGTCCACCAGAGCAAGACCACAACACCCTCAGAGCCTAGGCTGAATCTGGAAGCATGGCATTTCTACTAGCATGCAGTGTTAGGAAAAAAACATGGACATTGACAAGCTTATGCTTGGTTGCAGGTGGTCCTGCCCTCCTATTCTAAGAGAGTCAACAGGGTTCAACTCCCTGCACATTCGGGCATCCTACTGAATACCACAACACCACAAGCAAAGGGAGAGGGTGTTTTGCTGATGGTTGCTGATTTTGTGTCTGCCAATTATAGATGGCTTCATAGGTCCAGCACCGACAAGGATGGAGCCTGTGTCCTCTTCAAAGCAGGAAAAAAATAGGAGGGCTACTTTATAAATGAGGATATCCTCATGCAGACTACAAAAGCAATGGACATTCTAGGCAAGGAGCATTGCAGTGAGAAACATGTGTTTGTTTTTGACAATGCACCAACATACCTTAAATGAGCCAATGATGCCCTCTCTGTTAGGGCATGCTTTGTCCTGCTAAGGATTTACTAGGATATCCAAACTGTAAGAGCCAGACCTCTCAGAGACTTGGAAGAGAGCAGAGCAGAGTTGACTAGGTGGAAACCTAAGAGAACTAAACTGAGTTCTCTAGGTATTTTATTAGGGTTTATAT